GGGGGGGAGAGGGAGAGGTGGAAGTCCCCCTCTCTCTGTGAAGGGGGGTTCTGGGGGTCTCCCCCAGCAAAATTTCAAAAATTTGAATGTTAGCAATTGTTACAGGTGCATTTTCACAACGGCGATGTTAAATTTGACAACGGTGGTGCGCTACTGTGCCTCTTATGTATAAGAAACCCTGGTCTTAGACTGCATTTGAGGCACCCTGAAACCATTTTCACAACGGTGATGTTAAATTTGACAACGGCGGTGCGCCACTGTGCCTCGTATGTATAAGAACCCCTGGATTCCTAGTCATGTGACCAGATGTTTAACATTAGTCTAGAGCTGAGAAATCCATAAAAACACCTTGGTCGAAAGCAACGGCATTCACGTTTCGTTAATTACTAAGAAAGAAGTTCGGTGTTCGTCAATTATATGCACCTTCATCATAGAAGATTTCTGTTTAAAATCTTGCCTGGAATTCTCATATTGCCGGTAGTTATAGATTTTATGCCTATCGTGCCTGCTCGACATTTAACAATTGGTTTAATATTAACACAGCTTCCAACAACATCTAATGAGAATGTTATAAACATATCAATATTCATAATGCAGAGTTATTATACCTTTGTGGTGTTGTATTTAGGCCACAATTAAAAAAATCTTTGTTTGCCTTCACCCGACCCATGCTGAAAAGTTTGGGTAGGTAGGTAGGCTTAAAAAATTGAGTTTTTTTTTTTACAAATTTAGCATGGTGTCTACATGCTCGGGTGTGCTTGTGTGGAGATACCTTTTCTGTTGAATGTTTGTTTTGCTTGGTACATATAATGTATTACCTACATATTTATATAATGTACAGTAATACAATTTGTAAAAAAAAAATGGGAAAGATCAATTAAATGTTTGAGTCGGCTTCTTTTTGGCAGGTCGGTCGAGGGAGGGCAAACAAACAATATTTTTATTATGGTCTTATGTGTGTTTGCAGTGTCCAGAGGCTACGAACTCTGGTCGACCCGTCGTTCAGCGATGTGGAAGATGTCATTTCCATGGATACGGTGAAACAACGGGTGCTCTCGCTCACTGGTGAGGAGTGCTCCTTCGCAGAGATGCCTGCCCAGAAAAGTGATGTACAGGTAAGAATGATAATCAGGTGTGGTGGGTGACGAGGGAAGTGTGATGTACAGGTAAGAGGGATGTACAGGTAAGGGGTATGTGTAGGTAAGGCAGCTGTCTAGGTAAGGGGATGTACAGGTAAGGGGGATGTACAGGTAAGGGGTATGTGTAGGTAAGGCAGCTGTCTAGGTAAGGGGATGTACAGGTAAGGGG